AAATTGAGCTGGAGATGTAGTGTAGTCTGAAATCCCTGGGCTCAAATTCCAGTACCAAGAAAAAATAAAAATAAAAAGAATGCAGCCATTTTCTTTCTTTTTTTTTTTTTTTCCCCAGTACTGAGAATCAAACTCATGACCTTGTGCTTGCTAGGCAGGTGCTGTGCCACTGAGCTAAATCCCCAGCCCCATCATTTTCTAAACACCATCCATATAGCAGGAAAAGAGCTGTAGCTGTTACTTCCATTTCATCTTCTTCAGCTTCTGAGTGCCCAACCTGTCCCAACCAAACTGGGCCCAGGAACTTCAGAGAGTTCTCAGTGTAACTTCCAGCAGTGAGAGAATGGGCGAGAATAGGAGCTGGAATGTGACTCCTACTCAGTGGAACATTTCCAGAATTCTTGGGATTTCCTGGCCTCTAAGACTTGTTCTCCAGAACAACCACATGTTGAGGAGAATTCATTTCCTTCAATTTGAGCAACATGTCCTGATAAGATACCATTTTCACACTAGTTTGAGTGAAGTAAACTCTTAGAAATGTTAGGATGACAACGTAGAGAAGATAAAGTTCCCAGAGGAGCAGTGGGTCGGGGAGCCTTCCTGGGCACCCATGTTAGAGATAGGAAGGACAGGCAGGATGGACACACCAGCAGTGGAGAGGAGTGAAGAGCCAGACTTCAATGCCAATATCAACCACTGATCTCTCTGTGTAGCCTAAAGCAAGTTATTCCATCTCTCTCTCTCCTTCTGTCTACATTTCCAAAAGGAAGAGTGTGCTACCTACTTCCTAAGGCTGTCACAAGGTAGAAACAAGAGAAGAGAATGCTCTGAAACATGTCCAGAGTGTCCATGGTGCTGAACTCTCGATTCTAGAATGTTCTTCAGCTCTCTGGAAAGCATGAGAAGAATCATGAGCCGAAGTCGATTACAGTTTATATTAGCTGTTGTTTGCATTCACTTTTTATGAATAGTGAAGTTGTAGAAAAACAGGAAATAAACTTGGAAATCTCTGAGTGAGTCTTAAGAGAAATCAGACAAGGATTTAGTTAAGAATGATTGTTAGTAAAGTTGTTATATAATACTATCGCAACTTAGATTTGTATTTACAAAGTGCTGCTACAGGGATTATGCCACCTGATCTGCAAAACAATTTGATAAGGTAAGAAGAGCAGAAATGTATTTAGTGTATTTACAGGTAAGTCACCGAGGTTCAGAGATCTGCTGTGAATCACAGCTAATAAGATGTTTGCTCCAGAATCCAAGTCTAAGTCCTCCAACCCCATATCCATTACTGACACTCCCACATTCCAATCAACTGCTTAGCTTTAGATGTTTACCCTTCAGACGTGAAGCATAAAAACATGCATGTGATTACACACTGCAGAGTGAAAAAACCCAAATAAATAAATATATATATATATATACATGCTCGAACACTACAGTGAATGTGTAAATTTTAAAAAATTTATTACAGTAAAGGACACATTATCATTAATCCCCCTCAAAATGCTCCCCCTTGCTTTGAACACACTTATCCATCATTCTTACTACTTTGAGAAGCAGCTCTGGTAGTCCTCTTTCATGAGTATCATTAGTTGTGCCATTGTGAGTGCCTTGATGTCCTGGATCAATTCAAAATGCTTACTTCTCATGGTTGTTTTGACTCTGGGGACAACCGGAAGTCATACGATGCCAGAACTAGTCAATACAGTATTTTATGAGGCTGCCTTTCTGGGTCATGGCACTCAGCAGCAACATTCACCAAAAACAATCTCAAAAGAAGACATCTAGAACTTCTTCGGAAAGTGGCAAGAACAGTGAGAGAGATGTGTTCTAAGCTATGTGGAGTATTTTGAAGGGGATCAATGACAAGGTGTCTATTACTATAATAACTTTTCAAAAATGTAAATGTTCTCTGTATATTTTGATCGCATCTCATGTTCATTTTGCATGAGTGTTTCATAAAACAACCCCTGTTGTTCTGCTGAGTGAACCAATTTCCCCAAGGCCTTAAAAATGTGTGAGTATAAATTGTAAGAATAGCTAATACTTATTAAGAACTTATTATGTGTCAAGTACAGTACTATGTTATATAAGTGTTTTACATATACTTCCTCTTAAACCTCATGGCCACCCTGTGAAACAGATATTGCCACCTAATCTTAGGGAAAACTAATTATCAGAAAGGTTAAGTAACTTGGCCATGGTCACACGGCCACCCAGTGTGAGTAGAACTCAGAGGATTATCTGGTACCAAATTGCTTGCTTTTAGTCACTGTGCTATTTACATTACAGCAGTAGTCCATGTTCTCTGGCACTTGCCCCTACTTGGCATAAAAACTCTAAGCCCGTTAGTGTCTCCTAGTATTTAAAGGTGTCTCGAAGAGGTGTCTTACTCATGTCCTCTAAGTCAGCCCTCCTGTCCACAGTCAAGTGTTGTCCACCTCTGATTTGCACTTCTTCTGGTCCAGTCCACACAACCTGGACATGACATCTTTGGCAATAATCACCCCTATGATGAGCTCACAAATAAATAGGAAGAAAGAAAAGCAAGGGGCGCTGGATATGCCACAGACACAACCGTGGCGTCTTTGGTACCTTCTCTTATTTGGAAGTTGGACAACCGAACTTCAGTCAGAAAGAGACAAAGGAGGGGCTGGGGATATAGCTCAGTGGCATAAGTGCCTGCCTGGCAAGTGCAAGGTCCTGAGTTCGATTCCCAGTACCAAAAAAAAATTTTAAAAAGGAAGAGACAAAGGAGTTGAAGAGAAATTTCGCACCTGAGATAGCTTTGGGTGCCCTTGCCTATCTGGGTCAGCTGTCTTCAAAAGATAAAGAAACAGATTCAAAGATTTCAAACAGATTCAAAGACTGTGTTTAGGCAGACCATCCTACAGCACCCCCCTTTAAAAAAAGTGGCAACCGATAGACTGGGCATTTCACCTATAAAATGAGCCATTGTCTTTCAACCTGTGGGTGGTCATCAGTTTTTTTTTCCTGCAAACCAAGTCCAAAGTTTCTATAGATTCACAAATTCAGCAGATTTTTAGCCCCCCAAACAGAAAAATATCCCCGCCTCCCAACTAGAGGATGTCTTTCACAAGTGGGCCTGCACTGTATCTTTGAGTGTGTACTTTAAAAATTCTGCCTAATAAATCCCTTTATGCTTCTTTTTTTAAAGAGGGATCTGGCAATTACCTCCCTTCCCTGAGCTCTGACAGCAATACACTGCCAGAGTCAGAGGACTGTCCCTGTTGCCTGGAATATGTTACCAAAAGCACCGGATAGAATGTTCAGCACCTCTAGAGGCTGAAACAGAATGTTTCTTTCTCACCCAAATATCTGTTCTATTTCAAAACACAGCCCTTCTCATTTTTTGGCAGTTCATTTGTCAACAAACTTGTATTTGTTGAACAATTACAGTGTAAAAGCAAGTTCTTTTACAGGATTGTGTGAGAATTGCATTAAAAAGATGTGAACCTTACCTACAAAAGACATGATCTCATACAGTGATGAAAATGAGTATGATCTAGCAACATGTAATTAAACTTGGAGATAATTTTGTTTTGCCATATTTTCTCCTGTGTTTGTGATGATTGTCATAGTGGTTTCCCTTAGCCTGTGAGGGCCAGGGTATAACCTTCAATGAAAAAATTATGTGAAAACATTTTAAAAAAGAAAACTAACTTAGGACCACAGTCAACCACACTGAGCATGTTCAAAGATTCGGTCCAGTCAGCCATAGCAGCCAGGGCCACCTCGGATGGCTCCAGTTGCTCCCTGGGATACGGAATAGCGAGGAGCCAGGGAGGGAGAAACAGCTCGGGTCCACACTACGTATACCAAGGGGAAGGAACTTTCTGGAACACATGCTCACAGTGTCTCGGAGGACAATGTCCTTGTTCTCTTTAAGTCAAGGTATTTCAAATTGATAAAGCCAAGAGCCTCCTCACCTTGTCTTCTGTCCTCCAGAATAAGGTCAGCGCTAAGTGCCTTATCCACCATGAGGTACTGAACCCATGGAAACACTCTGAATGTCAGTTACTCACCTGAATGTGCAGATGTGTTCCTTAGGCTTCCTTTGCTTGTGCTTATATTCTACATAGTTTTGAATTACCTGGTATACTATGCTGGAAAGAAATGGTCCCCATTTTTAAAAGCAAAGGAATGCTTTGTTCTCACAAGTAAAAAAAGCCTATATTATTTTTAAAAACCTTCAGCCTCATGTGTTACCTGTACATATTTTTATTTCTTCCTTTTTTCCTCTTTCTTTTTCATCTTTATCATTTCTTTTTTGGTGATGCCAAGGGTCTTAGTCTGTTTTGTGCTGTTATAACAAACTACTATAGACTGGGTCATTTGTAAAGAACAGACATTTATTTCTCTCAGTTCTGGAGGGTAAAGTCTAAGACCAACGCACCAGTATTGCAAAGGGTCTCGCTGCATTCACACATGGGGGAAAGCAGGACAAGCTACTGAATGCGGCACGAAGCCCCCTAAATCCATTTCCAAGGAGAGGAGCTGTCCAAAGACCCCACCTCTTAATACTACTACATTGACAACACCTGAATTTTGAAGGAGACACCTTCAAATCACAGGCCCAAGCACAGTATTTTAACATAGGACTGTGGCACTCTTCCTGGAGGACTGCTGAATCACCACGGTCGTCAAAGTGGAGTTCCATGAAAACATTAAAATGCTTTACAATGGTTATACTTTTTACCAGACAGGTCTTTAAAGTAGGAAAAATAATACAGAGTAGATTCAAGTTCACTCGAAGAGTACTGGAGGCTTCATTTCTAAGGGACACAGTGTCTCACAGGTCAGACACCAAATCATTGCTAGAGTTAATGCAAAAAATTAGGGTTCAACCATGAAATGAGTAGTGTTTTCATTTCGAATAGGAGGAAAGGTGCAGTTAAAGAAAAGTAATTCTAGCTAGACCCACACAGGTGAGAAAGGCCAAGTCCTCACTGTCCCCCTCCCACCCTCTCTTACAGATGTTTCTCCCTCCGTGCTTCTGTGATTCTGAGAAGTGAGTAAACACCATCCCCTGGACCCTTCCTGGAGCCTCCCCCGGGTGCGGAAGGTGTGTCCTTGCTTTGCCTCCTGAGGCTGCCTGGGGAACCATGGGGCTGAGTCACGTCTGCCCGCAGCTGCCGCCCTTTGCATCCCTGGGCACTGAGGTCTGAAACCTGACCCTGCCAAGGACCAGCCCTACCCCCTTGGAGGAAATGGCCCAGCAGCCTAGGCAACAGCAGCTGAAAACTTCCTTCCTCTTCATCCAGCTGCAGGCGCCCCCTGCGCGAGCTCTCCCCGCCCAGTCTCCAGCCGCTGCAGCCTCCAAGGCAGCCCCAGGGGGCCTGGAGGAGGGACACTTTTTCTCAAGTCCCGGGACAGGCTTCTTGGCAGGCTGGGACCTCCGGCGCACACAGGGCTCAGCTGCTGCCTCTTTAAGCCTGCTGTATGAAGAAGACCCTGGGACAGAGGAGCCGGCGGCTTTCCCTTGCTATTCCCCGGAGGAACAAGGAGAGGGGAAATCCTGGCAGAGGAATGTAAAAAGGGGTGGTGTCTGCGGATCCCCACACTGGGGGCGTTGCCTGGCCCCTGCCTCGAGGAAACTTGGACTGTCATGCGGGCTGTCTAACCTAGCTCCTGTCATGAGCCATGGAAGCAGCACTCCCTCCACGGGCTGCAAGCGCTGGCCAGTCCTTTCCGGCCCCCAGGACCTGTGGGGCATGGACCCTCTGTCTAGGACTGCCCCAGAATGCCCACCTCCACAGGCCACCGTGGCCTCTGCTGCTGACAGGAGCCCAAGAGCCGTGCAGAGAGGAGGTGCTATGACCTTTCAGTGTCGCCCGGAAAGCAATGGAGGGGAACCAGGTACCCAAGTACCTGCGACAAAGGCACAGCTCTACAGATACTGTCCAGTCATCCAGATCAGCAGGAGCTACCCAGCCCCTCCAGCCGCTCTGCCACTCCAGGTAAGAATTCATCTGTGCCCCAGTCCCCAGCATGGAGAACGGAGACGGGACAGACATTCACCTTGGCTCCCAGCTCTGACCCTGGGTCTCCCCTCTGCTGGTGTGGATGGCAGAGGTGCCTGCCACGCAGTCTTCTGCAGCCTGCGCTTAGCTCTTTTCTCTAGGCTCGGCCCTCTTTCCAGCCACTTGCAACATTTTATTTGGGTGAATAACTATTTCCCAAGATTTCTGCCAAAGGACAGAGAGGGAAAGCTGAGTAAAGAAGGACAGGCTTTATAGGAGAAGACAAGTGGGCAAGGCAAGGAGGTACCCAGGTGTTTGCGGGTCCCTGCACTGTGCCAGCCGTACCCTTCATGTCCTCTTACGCCCCTTTAATTCTCATCACCACCCAGAAACCTCCAAGTTTAGATGAGATTGGGATGCGGTTAGGCAGAAATCCTCCCTCTCCTTCCAAAAAGATAAAGGCAAAAATAAAACCTATTCTCCAGGGTACACTCTGGGACAGCAAGGGAAGCTTCAGTAAGTGGTGGCATTTCCAGAATTGGAGCACAGCGTTGGAATACTGGGCCTCCTCCTTGATCACTTGATTGCCCAGGCCCCATGTCCACCTCCCGTTTCCACCTATCACCAAGTGGACGTGCATTTACAGATGTGAAAGCCAATTCCCATCAGGAAGGGAAAATGGCCCTCTTGTGGTCTCCAGGGCCTCTTCCACCTCGCAGGGTCTCTGCTTCTGCTCGCGGTTGTGCCTGGTCCTTGTTAGCAACTTGTTCGGTGTATTTCTGACCCCTCCTCACCATCTAGCTCATGTATTACTCTCAAAAGGGACACATGAAATTTAAAATTATGCGCTCAAATTCCTTTTCCTGGCAGCGTGGACACCTTGCTTGCTTTGTGTGGGGGTGAGTGACAAGGGTAGGAGGGAAGGGCTTGCATTGCTGGGGTTGGCGGAGTGAGCTAGAAGGAAGGTTGGCACGGGGGGTGTGGGTTGTCAGGGAAGTCGCAGGAGAATTGGATGAAATTCACAGTAACCAAGGGCCCTCCCTGGGCTTGGAGGTGATGCTGCTTCAGCCAGATCCTGTGCCTGTCTCCTACATGCTGCTACACACCCACCTTCTTTCCTTTTTTCTTCTTAGCAGGGGGCCTGCATAATCGCAGTGAAGAGTTAAGGAGAAAAGGGGAGTCTGACTTTCCTCCAGAGGGCAGCTCTTAAAAGAAGAGAACTAGCATACTTCCTTGAGAAATAGTTTACATTCCATCTTAGTTCTCCTATCTCTCATTTCCCACAGGGATTTAAGAGAAATGACATACTCATGCGTCAGAACCCTGTCTCTGGACTGGGGTCACACAGTAGTTGTTTTTTGATGCTGAGATGGCCTGAAAATGCCATCTTTCCCCACTTCCGTTCCCTCCTCACCTTCTTTTGGGATGTAGGCCAAATCCTCAGAGCTGCTACCATTTCTCTAGGGAAAGGTGTTTTGGGAATTGGCCCAAGACTAGATCACAGCCTTGCCAGCCTTATTCAGCCTCCTGTGTAAATGCACACCCAGACATCTGTTCCAGAGTCCCTGGCTGACAAGCCAGAAGCTCCAAGTCCAAACTCTCACCTAGAGCAAGCCACTAAGAGTCTTGACTTTCCCATCTTGAAAACTCTGGTCCTGCCACCTGCTTCATAGTTACTATGGAGATTTGTGTACCAAAGTGTTGAGCTACTGATGAGGACCCTCAGTAGTTCTGTCTTGAAGGAGAGAAGTGGAGAAGCAAGACCAGTAGGATGCCAGGCAGAGCCAGGGGAGTCATGGAGTCAGAGGTGCAAGTACAGAGTGACTCCAGGGCCTGGGGAGGCAGTAGGGCTACAAAAGCTTATCCTTGACCTTGCTGGTTACATGCGATTCCTTCTTCCATGGAAAGAGACCGCAGTTATAAAATTAACTCCTTCAGATGCACAAGTACTTTCAATGCTTTAAGGCTATTGTTAACCAGATGACCCTTGCTGTTGTTGGGTATTAGAAAAAGGAGCAAAGTTAACAAAAACTGGTTTTTCCACCTGTTTATCCCTGAGCAGACTGAAATATTATGAAGAATTACACAGTACTTTCATATTTAAAAATTTAACCATGTGAGTATCAAAAGGCTGATTGAAACACTGTCTTACCAGGTATAGATGTTGAGACCTTGGTTAGTCACAAGTATCCTTGAGGAACCTTGGGATGTTGAGAACAATATTTATTAGAGTGAAGGGTTGGATACATGAAAGTAAATTCTATTCCCACATACATGTCATAGTGTTGAGGTCCTTAAGTGAACTTTCCCAACAGAAGAATCTGCATGTTACCAGTAAGCTTTCCCCTTTGCTGTGCTCCAAATTGGTAAATTTATTCTCTCCATGCTGAAAGTTCATGGGCTCCTAAATGACAGTTATTGACTTCTGTCTGTCCATGTATCATAAGAAGAAAGTAAATTCCTTAATTTCTAATTTATATGGCTGGGCATTAGTCAAAATAATGCTAACACTCCCTGACCTACAAGGTTTCTTTTGCATTATTTCCTCTTATTAAAAACCTCTAATCTGTGGGTATATATGTTGCCCCCCTCCCCATTTCAACATGAGGAGGCAGATGGGTGCTTAGGGATGTTAGAAACTCTTGGGAACTCAAGACTACTGTTATGGCTTCTGTCTAGATGCCCTTCTAAAGCCTTATGTGGTCATAGGTGGGACTTTTGCAACGGTGGCTGGATTGATGGTGTTTGACACTGGGATTGATTTGTGGTATAATGCTAAAATGAAGGGCACTAGGATTAAGGGTGTGAGTGCTACCCATCCTGAGTAGCCTGGATAAGGTATAAGTGATAGAAAGAGCTGTGGTCATCCCTTGTTGCTTTGCCACCTTCTGCCTGCCAAGAACTGTTTCTCCTCTGTGATGCCTGTCTTCCTGCCTTGGAGCCAGCCAATGATGGACTGAAACCTCTACAAACTGTGAGCTAAGTAACCCTTTCCTTCTTTAACGTTGGGTGTCAGGTATTTTGTCTCAGCATTGAGAAGAGGTTACAATGTCTCTCATTGAGAAGAGGTAACTAAGACAACTACGAAGCAGCAGCTCAGGGCTCCTACTCATGTTTGCCTGGAGCCTGGCCCTCTCAGCTTTCTCTCCCTGTCTTTCTAGCTGGTGACATTTTCCAGAAAGATAACTGTACATTTTCTGGGGTCTGGTGGATGATGTTGATCTCATTTCTCTAGGGATGAGGGTGGGAGAAAGACCCATGGGAAGAACAGGTCCAGTGACCTGGCTTTGTGTAAACAACCTCAACCAACTTTCTAGAAGCAATGAAGGCCTGGATTCGGAGGCCATGAAACTCTCTAGCTAAGCATGATGCTGACTAAAGACTCTAAAATTTCCTTCAGTTCTTTGGCAGTGTAACTCAGAAATGTCTCGGGGTCTGGCACCACAGCCTGTCCTAACCATCTCCTGGATTTCATGTTCTAACTGCTCCTCAATGGGAACCCAAGGAACTGTCAACATTTGACATTAGGGCTGAAGATAACAAAACAAAATAACAGACATGACCCAAGAGAGGAAAACAAGCAAACAAACAAAAACGAAAACAAACAAACAAAAAAACCTACTTATTGGGAAATCTCCACATATTTAAAAAAAAAAAAACTTGGGCTGTCATATTACATATTTTATATCTTAAAATAGCAGTGACTTTTTTTGAGATAGGGTGTCATTGTATAACCCAAGCTAGTCTTGAATTTACAACCTTTCTGCCTCAGCCTCCTAAGTGCTAGAACAGCAGTGACTTTTGATAAATAACTGGCATTAGAAAATTAGTAGAGAATATATTTTTAAAATTTCCCCAGAAATACCATTTTCACCTATATCTTTAAATTTCTCCCAAATTTTATCTTTCTGTTTTGGTCTTCCTTTTTCCCATTCTCTTTCACAGTAAGTTCTCAAAATAATCCCTTTTTTTGTTTGTTTGTTTTTTGTTTTTTTTTCCAGTACCAGGAATGGAACTCATGACCTTGCACTTGCCAGGCAGGCGCTGTGCCACTGAGCTAAATCCCCAGCCCAATAATCCCTTTTTTGAATTCTCTTCATCAACTTCTAGGTGTACTCATAGTTTAGGAAACAAGGAGAATGAGCCAGCCAGACAGAGAGATGCAGAGGTTTGTCTGGAGAGGGAGCTGGGTACATTATTCAGCAATCTCATGAATGGAAATGCAGTTTAGGTCTATTTGCTAAGCAAGTCCTATCTAATAGACTAGAGAAAATGTAGTGTTATGCCCTAAAATGAAACCAGTGTTTGAAATATAAATCTGTAAAGTGCATTACATTTTTGGTCCAAAGTTTTTATTTAGAATAAAGGTCATTGGTGCTGGTGTTCAAGAGATAGAAAAGGAGCTTGTGTCCACTGACTAACTAGTTACATGGCCTCTGCTGACTCCTTGAACAAAGTTTGTGTCATGGTTTGGGGTTTTACAAGGGGAACGGTATCACACAGGACATATATTTTAAAATATTATTTATAATAGTCACCCAAAGAATCATATGCAAGAGAGTGAAGGAAATCTGTCCACACACTAAACCAAAGAATCCAGCTGAGGGCCTGGATCCCAGGGAAATGTCCTGCATGAGTGCAGCTGAAGACCTAGAGCTCAGAACAATGCCTCCTATGAGTCCAACTGGAGGCCCAGAGCCCATGACAACATTCCATGCAGGCCTGTTTCACCGATCTGCACTGGGAAGGCCCAGAGGTCAGTGGTGGGATCTATGAAGTCTGTGCCAGTGAGATGAAGGATCTGTGCTAGAAGGCTGAGGAATCTGCACTGGAGCCAGGAAGTGATGCTCAAAGTGAGGACCAGAGCTCCCTCAAAGTGAACTGAAGCCATTCTCAGTGACCACAAGGTCCTAAGCTCCTTGGATGATGAAAACAGCCGAGTTTAGCAGAAAAAACAGCATGACAAGCTCTTCCAAGAGAACCAACAGCTCCTTACA